CGATAAATCTCCACTAGTACCCTGGATGCATCTATGGCCTGATAATTTTATTACCTCCCTTTGCTGGGTCTGCCTTCTCACAGTAGCCAATCAGATAAGCTATTACAACCAAGCTTGCCAGTGTCAACAATGATTGCGGCTGCAACCATGAAGGTTTGCTCGCTGTGGGAGTCGATTTAGGGGAAATTTCATACAGACAAATTGACAGGTCTGAAACTTTCAAAACATATATGCAAGAACTCCGTCTACCTCTTTCAGAGTACCTCTGCAACAATCGTGTTGCCAAGTTTAAGTGGTTAGAAAGTGAGTTTTGATGAAGCCTTGTGATTGGTATGCTCAGCTTTCCAGCGTAGATGCCTGGTTCGATAAATAGACAGCAAAGGGAGGTAATAAAATGATTAGTGAGTGAGTGAGTGAGTTCAGTTTTACGCCGCACTCAGCAATATTCCAGCTATATGGCGGCGGTCTGCAAATAATCGAGTCTGGACCAGACAATCCAGTGATGAACAGCATGAGCATCAATCTGCGCAATTGGGAACTGATGACATGTGTCAACCAAGCCAGCGAGCCTGACCACCCGATCCCGTTAGTCGCCTCTTACGACAAGCATGGGTTACTGAAGGCTCATTCTAACTCGGACCTTCACGGGTAGACAAGCATGGGTTACTGAAGGCTCATTCTAACTCGGACCTTCACGGGTAGACAAGCATGGGTTACTGAAGGCTCATTCTAACTCGGACCTTCACGGGTAGACAAGCATGGGTTACTGAAGGCTCATTCTAACTCGGACCGTCACGGGTTTAATTTGGAAGAAGAAGCGTCAGAATACAAAAATGAAAAAGGTGAAGCAGATGATAAATGAGTGTAGATAATTGTAGGTATGACTAAGCTGATAGCAAGGAGTATAAATTGATAATGGTTTGGAATTAAGAAGATGGGGTCGGGGTATGGGAAGGAAGGACTTGGGGCAAAAGAAGTGAGAAGGTTATCTTAGCCATTATGTGTGTAGAAGGAGTAGGCGTATAGCTTATGAATTTGGTAGTACAGTTAAGTTGCAGCTGATAAAAATACAGGGTCCTAATAACCAAATTAAATTGGGTTACACTTTAACTGTAAGCATAAACGTTGACCTATGGGGCTTAAAGAGTCAAGGTAGGACAGCTGGCGAGTTTGAGCACAGACAATCACTTTGGACTTATGGGTGGTCTCTGTTTTGTCATCACGTGGACTACTTTATATGCTGATAACGTACACTGAAGTATACAGGCATGACACTCTCAAACGTCATGATACTTGACAGCCCTGGCAATCACACGACACAAACTAGCAGTGCATGATACAGAATGATCACGGGCATGTTGGAGTAGTTACAGATATAATATACAGTTAGAGATAAAATTATGTAATCTGCTTTGAATGTATCTGGACGTCTGTGGTGAGTCTATCGGCAGTGTCTGGTTCGTGCAACTTGATTACTTGCATGTAAGATAGATAAAAGTACTCGTGAGAGACCTTTATCATCTTTGTTCGCACTTTGTTCCTGTAACAATACGTTAAAATCTTGATAGTGTTCTGACACTCGTCCTCTATCTATTTTTTAATATCGCCCTAAGTTAGTCGAATTAAGTCAAAATGAGTTGAAATTTGTGTCATGATGCTTATAAACATACACTCATCATTTACAACCTCCAAAACATAAATATTGAGTAAAAGTAAATATTCTCGCCAATGGGCCAAAATGTTTTTCTCCCATAGGCGAGATTTTTAAATATCGCTCTAAGTTAGTCAAATTAAGTCAAAATGAGTTGAAATTTGTGTCATGATGCTTATAAACATACACTTATTCATTTACAACCTCCAAAACATGAATTCTGATCGAAATTAAACATTCTCACCCATGGGCCACTGTTCGCCCATGGGCTTGCCCATGGGCGAGCTAGTTTAAATTTCCAGTTTTCGAAAAAAAAAATTTTCATGTTTTCATCCTTGGCATATATTCATAACAACTGCATGTTTCATTTGGTCAAATCTCTTGTCAGGAAGTGCCCACAGTGCGGAGAGTTTCTGGACTTTTGTGAGTCCAGAATTAAATTGTGACGTGTTAATTAATGTTGTCATAATGCCCATCAAGCATCTAATGTCGTCATAGTCATAACTAATATTGCTGACAACAGGGCCAATGAGGTACACAAAGCCGTCTTAGCACAATGAGTCCTAAGCCTTGGTTTAGGTTCGCCTAATGCTAAGAATGCTTTGTGAAACAGGGTCCTGGACCAACTCTGCTAAGTTACCGGTATACATTACTGCATGAAAGGCAATGTTAAAATATGTCTAAATAAACATAAATATAGAAATATTTTTAAAAATTATATCTTTAATTTTTGCCATTTTTTAAATCTATTTTGAATTTTTTGGGGGGAATGCTAGATGAATCCCTGTGCTTATATTTAGAGATTGATAATCTTTGTCTTTTTCGTCATGACAATCCACTGTCTGTGGTGCTTGTTAAGAAATGTCCTTTGATGAATTCCATGGTGGGTGTGTTACATTTGATCAAGGTCATGGCCATGGACCTTTGAGAGGTGGGAGCGTGTTGCATTGTGATTAATGGAGCTCTAATATTGCTGTTCAAATTTACTAATGAACTGGTTTGTAAAATTATACTAATGTCATCGATAGGAGTCATCTAATCCCTTGCTATTGTTTCCCCAGTGACTTAATGGCCCAGTGGTTCAAGTGCTGGTTTGTCATGGACAAGGCTTTGGTTTGATTCCTCATAAGAACACCAAGTCTGTTGCCTTGTCTTGGTGTCACGTGCTGTGGCGTCAGCTAGAACCATATTTAGTTCCACCGGAGAGGGTGCAGGGTCATCCTCGATAATCTCCAGGGTATACGTTTCGATAAATCTCCACTAGTACCCTGGATGCATCTATGGCCTGATAATTTTATTACCTCCCTTTGCTGGGTCTGCCTTCTCACAGTAGCCAATCAGATAAGCTATTACAACCAAGCTTGCCAGTGTCAACAATGATAGCGGCCGCAGCCATGAAGGTTTGCTCGCTGTGGGAGTCCGATTTAGGGGAAATTTCATACAGACAAATTGACAGGTCTGAAACTTTCAAAACATATATGCAAGAACTCCGTCTACCACTTTCAGAGTACCTCTGCAACAATCGTGTTGCCAAGTTTAAGTGGTTAGAAAGTGAGTTTTGATGAAGCCTTGTGATTGGTATGCTCAGCTTTCCAGCGTAGATGCCTGGTTCGATAAATAGACAGCAAAGGGAGGTAATAAAATGATTAGTGAGTGAGTGAGTGAGTTCAGTTTTACGCCGCACTCAGCAATATTCCAGCTATATGGCGGCGGTCTGTAAATAATTGAGTCTGGACCAGACAATCCAGTGATCAACAGCATGAGCAACAGCATGAGCATCAATCTGCGCAATTGGGAACTGATGACATGTGTCAACCAAGCCAGCGAGCCTGACCACCCGATCCCGTTAGTCGCCTCTTACGACAAGATAGTCGCTTTGTATGGCAAGCACATGGGTTGCTGAAGACCTATTCTACCCCGGATCTTCATGGGTCAATAAAATGATTAAAAGCTGCAGATGCATCCAGGGTAAAGTGGAGATTTATCGATATGTATACCCTGGAGATTATCGAGGATGGTCCAGGGTATGCATCCCTATTTTATGCACACTTTATTCATACTTACATACAGTATTTGAAAACATATGACCAATAGGGGTGAAACATTTCACTCTTACCACAGTAGGGTACATATTGCGGTACAAGGCCTTTGGTTTGTCCCTTTTGGTACATGAGAACTTCCCAAAAATAGCGACCATCCAGTAAAGAAATGCATAGATTTTGACAACAATTATTCAATTTTTAGACATTTTAGAAAATGTTAAAGTAAATGACCGTACGAAAACCGAAAATACCAAATTTTTATTGCATTACAGTACACCGAACAGAAGGCAAAATACTGTGGTTCTACTAATACCGTCTTGAAATGTCACCGTAAACATTTGGGGGTAGTTTCACTTGGTTTGGAGGCTTCACATGGGAAAGAGATGAAATATTTAGTATGCCTTACAGAGTTATCCCCCTTTATCGTTCAATGTGACTTGTTATGGAACATGGATTTTTTTTCATGAGATCAAGCGCAATCTTTGTTTATCATGATATAATTAATATTGCTGATGGCAGTGTAAACAATGGTCAGTCCCTGCAAAGGTTCCTTTTTGACACAGTCTTTAGTTGTGTTTGACGAGATAACAGATGTTATGACTTACAGTAATCTTCCTCCAGATTACAGTTCTGCCCTCTGTGTGTTTTGTAATACCATGATTTTTACATGTTCTGGTGTGATTTTACGTATCTAATCAAGTAATCAAGATACAAACAATAATCCCAATCAACAATACAAAAAAATATGTATTTTAATAATGCATGTTTATTATGGTATTATATATAGTATTTTTACCATTTTATGCAAATTGTGGTGATGAACTTTTGTGATTTTTTCTCGTTTCAAAACAGAGTCAAGAAATATTGTTTTGTAAAATGTTTATGTTTTTGTTTTTAAATTTTAGTTGTTTGTTATTAGTCTATCTCAAGGCCAGCAAATAAATATACAAGAGACAGTCTCATATGTGACTCTATTGACAAACTGTAATGTCCAGGGTCCCGTTCCTCAAAGCGATCGTAGCGCTACGACAGTCGTAAGTCTATGTTAAAGTATGGGAGTTACGATCACCTTAGCGCTACGATCGCTTTGAGGAACGGGGCCCAGGCCCATGCTTGTTGTAAGAGGCAACTAATGGAATGAGTAGATCAAAGCTCATGATGTTGATCACTGGATTATCTGGTCCAGACTCGATTATTTACAGACTGCCTCCATAAGCTGGAATATTGCTGAGTAAAGCGTTAAACAACACAAGTAGTAGTACATTTGCATATGCGTTTCCGATGTTGAAAATACCTGTTCATTCCAGATGACCACCGTGGGGATGATGGCCACAGTGACCTCGACTCCCTGGCTGCCCAGCAGATCGACGAGAAGTTCAAGGAAATCATGCGCAAGAAGCGAGGTATGCACCTGTCACTCATATGCCAAGTGCTTTTTGATTGGTGGTTGTTTTTGGTGAACTGTGTATGTCATACACACCCAACCTGTCGATTCTGAAACAGCAATATTTCCACTTATTTAATTGTAAATGTTGGTGAATGACATTAAGACAAAATTGTAACGCAAGAAATTGTTCTACTGTTTTGGTTTTCTTCAGTCTTGTTGGTGAATGCCATTAAGAAAAAAGTTAAATCTTAAGGATTTCTTTCCCCATTCTAATTGTACAATCTTGTTAAAGAATGTCAGTAAAGCAAAAATTAATACTAATTGTTGGAATGAGAATTTTTGTTTTATGTTGGTACGTTGAGTATAGATATATTCCAGGTAGATAAATTTATATATCTTCGAAAGTTGGGTTTGTGAGACAACATACTTTTGTTCTATTTTGCCGTGATGAATTTGTGGTTTTGTTTGTGTGGATAGTTCATTTAGACATTCCAAATATGAGTAGATTTTAGTTTTGTAGATTCAGTACATTTGCTTCGTTGTCATCTGTAGAATAAGGGGAGGTAATCACAAGAGCTTTCTGTGTCAATTTATCTGAGGTGTGCCATGTTGTTTATTTGTAATAACTCTTAGTCTAAAGATATCTAGATTACTATCAATCATAACAAAGATTCATGTTCACTGTTTTGAAATAAATATCAACAGCAACTGATAAGAAATTTCTCATAATCAACAAGATCAATGAGATCTGCGTTAGACTTGATCTTCAGCAATCCATGCTTGTCGTAACAGGCGACTATGGGGCTCGCTGACTTGGTTGACAATTGTGAAGATTGATGCTCATGATGTCAGTCACTGGGTTTTCTGGTCCAGACCAGATACAGGTCATATATAGCTGGAATATTGCTAAGTGTGGCATTAGGGGCGGTGGGGTAGCCTAGTGGTTAAAGCGTTCGCTCATCACACCGAAGACCCGGGTTCGATTCCCCAAATGGGTACAATGTGTGAAGCTCATTTCTGGTGTCCCCTGCCGTGATATTGCTGGAATATTGCTAAAAGCGGCGTAAAACCAAACTCACTCACTAAGTGTGGCACTAAACAATAAACATTATCAAAAGACACATTGTGTCCCTGTGCAAACATTATACCAATACTTCTCTTTGGTTTTAATATGTTGGAGATAATGTTTGCTTAGAAAGGTTATGGGGCTTTTTAGTAGTCATATGAGTGAACTGTAGCTGGTTGTTGAGGCTACTGCACCACAATAAATTGGCATGGACCAGGTGGCCCAGATGTCCAAGGTGCTGCAATTTGCTGTGCAGAGTTACTCCCCTTGGATGTACCAGAAACCAATGACCCTGGGTTTAAATACAGTGTGATTATGTATCCAAGTTTGTTAGTACCATGTGGGTGGTAGGATAGCCAAGTGGTTTAAAGCGTTTGCTCATCATGCCAAAGTGAGTGAGTGAGTGAGTTTAGTTTTACGCCGCATTCAGCAATATTCCAGCTATATGGCGGCGGTCTGTAAATAATTGAGTCTGGAACAGACAATCCAGTGATCAACAGCATGAGCATCAATCTGCGCATTTGGGAACCAATGACATGTGTCAACCAAGTCAGCAAGCCTGACCACCTGATCCTGTTAGTCGCCTTTTACGACTAGCATAGTCGCCTTTTATGACAAGAATGGGTTGCTGAAGACCTATTCTACTCCGGATCTTCACGGGTCTCATCACGCCAAAGACTCTGGTTCGATTCCCCACATGGATACAATACTGGTGTCCCCAACCGAGATATTGCTGGAAAATTGCTAAAAGCGGCGTACACCCATACTCACTCACTCACTCACTGTAAGCACCATGCTGATGGCTGCATGCATGTGGTACATGTCTAACACCTTCATCAGTTTGGGCTCCTCCATTATGAAGCTGACGTCTTCAAACTAACTGAAATGCTGTTTAAAACTGACCCAACTGCGACGTGGTCAAGTGTTATTTGATATGCTTACCTATGAGGTATTGGGTGATGATGATGAGGTACAATGAATGTACACCTTTGACGTAGGTGGTTATCTGGATGACTTGAAGGCCCGCATACCCAGACCAGGTAGTGACCGTGACACGGTCAACTCGGACGAGGGGGTGGTCACTCGGCCGTCAGGTGAGGGTCAAGCATGGTGGAGGGATGTGTATACAGATATATCACTCATATGACATTAGCAGCTCTCATTGTGCGTTATTGTATTGATATTGTCTCTGCAGATATGTTTGACATTACAATGCAACCACTAACACCTTAGAGATTTTCAGAAACAGTTGTTGAAACTGTTACCATCAATTTTACAAAGTTATTCAGCTATTTTGTGTTATATTTCTTGGCTCACTAGTGGTGATCCGATTAATTGAAATAATCGAAGATTGGTCGCAGTGACTAAACGACCATGTTTTCTCATAATCAAACACAAACAATTCTGGAACACTTGTTTTCATCAACAATATTTTTCACAAGGTTGGTTTTGTCTGTTACATTTCATAACCACTACAAGCTCATTCCAAGTCATGATCGAATTTATCTTAAAGACACCAAGAAATTTATGTTCCTAACATACTATTCATCCTTTAAAGAAGTGAAATTTTGCACACAAAAACCAAATAACTACATGTTTTTTCTTTGTTTTTTTGTGCATTAACAAATTTCATAAATGACGCTGACCAATTATTTTTGATGATTGTTCGGTGGTAATGAACCAATCATCAATTATGAGATTTTAACAAATTCCCAGCACTATGGCTTGCAGGCATTCCAACCTATGTGACCGCCTCCGTGGTGTAGTGGTTAGAGTGTCCGCCTGGAGAGCGGAAGGTCGCGGGTTCGATCCCCGGCCGCATCATACCAAAAGACGTTAAAATATGGTACTTGTTGGTCCCTGCCTGGCTCTCGGCATTAATGGGTACAACAAGGACTGGTCGGCTCGGAGTCAGTATAATGTGTCTGAGTGGGGTATTCATGCTTCACTGCGGCATGGTATCTCAGTGGGCTAGCACTATAAAACCAGCTTCAGTTTGGGCTAGTACAAGCAGCCGCACATACACATACACACGCATGCACGTCGTCATATGAGGAAAATATTCCTCAAGCACGACGTTAAAACCAATTTCACCTCACCTCACCTCCAGCCTATGTGATCCTGAGCTTGATAATCACACTTTTGAAAAATTAAACAATATTTACATTAAGGCAAGAATTTAATCTCCATCAGGGCCACGCCGAAGACCCGGGTTCGAATCCCCACATGGGCACAATGTGTGAAGTGACTGGTGTCAATTTCTGGTGTCCCCCGCCGTGATTTTGCTGGAATATTGCTAAAAGCGGCGTAAACCCAAACTCACTCAGTCAGTCAGTCAGTCTGTCCATCAGGGCATATTCTAAGAATATGCTCCAAGACCTGATGAAGGAGTAAAAATATACAACGAAACTTCGTGTCTATCAAAACATAGAAGTTGACATCTATAAATTCTGGCCTTCATGTGTATCACTTCTAAATGCCGTTCAAAGACTCTATGCTTACAATTTATCATTTCTCTCCCTGGCCCAGATATAAAGACGTTCACAATGACCGCTTGATGTTCAATTAAAGCATGAGATATGAAAACCTTTTGTCGCTTCCTCCTGTATTTTTAGCAGTGTGTAAATGTTAATTTTTGGGTACTCTATCACATTCCTCAAAAAATGCTAAATGAACGACAGAATTTGAAATGGTATTTATTTTCACACTACTTTTTTTAAAATTTGTACAAGGGTGAATTTTTTTATTTTATTCTATTCGACCTCGGATCACGAAGTTTGGAGAAAATCCATCTGTAAACCAACTAATATAGAAAAAGTCTAAGTACATATTTTTATATGACCCCTAGCTTCCTTGGTATATTCCGTCATTAATTTGTAGCTGTGACAGTGTTGTTGTCAGTTTAAAGTGTGAACAGCTAACTGAACAGGGTCATGACATCACAATCCAGCAGAGCAGCATGTATTTATCATTTACCATATGTGTATTTATCATTTACCATATGTGTATGTATCATTTACCATATGTGTATTTATCATTTACCATATGTGTATTTATCATTTACCATATGTGTATTTGTCATTATGTGTATCATTTACCATATGTGTCATTTATATGTGTATTTATCATTTACCATATGTGTATTTGTCATTTACCATATGTGTATTTATCATTTACCATATGTGTATTTATCATTTACCATATGTGTATTTATCATTTACCATATGTGTATTTGTCATTTACCATATGTGTATTTGTCATTTACCATATGTGTATTTATCATTTACCATATGTGTATTTATCATTTACCATATGTGTATTTATCATTTACCATATGTGTATTTATCATTTACCATATGTGTATTTATCATTTACCATATGTGTATTTATCATTTACCATATGTGTATTTATCATTTACCATATGTGTATTTATCATTTACCATATGTGTATTTATCATTTACCATAACTATATTATCATTTGCCATGTTTGTATTTATCATGTACCATATTTGTATTTATTATGGGATTTGATTCTTGCTCATGCTATTAACCACTGGTTTGTGTTAACTTACTTTGTTATTAACAGACCAATTTGACTACAGCAGCCATATTTAACTGTATTATAAGTAGGGCTGCGCAATATAACCGGTATACCGGTATTTACCGGTATAAGGTGCCTGACTCTGAGGGTGTGGGTTCGAACCCCGGATGGGACTCAACCCATCAAGGTACTAGAATCAGTACTGTATTGAGAAAGTGTAATCCCAAATATAACATATGCTGTCTAACCAGCTTTGTATATGTTCCCCCATTACCTGTGAAGACCCATTCAGATCTGGGTTAGAACTGGACTTCAGCAGCCATGCTTGCCTTAAGAGGCGACTAACGTGATCGGGTGGTCAGGTTTGCTGACTTGGTTGACACATACCATTGATTCCCAATTGTGTAGATTGATGGTCGTGCTGTTAATCACTGGATTGTCTGGTCCAGACTCGATTAATCACAGACTGCCGCCATATAGCTGGAATATTGCTGAGTGCAGCGTAAAACTAAACTCACTCACTTATGTGGACCCATCCATTTGCTCATATTTATGTGAGTATGGATTTACACCACTTTTGGCAATATTTCAGCAATATCATGGTGGGGGACACCAGAAATGGGACTCAAAAGATTTTACCCATATGAGGAATCGAACCTGGATCTTTAGCATAATGAGTGAATGCTCTAAAACCTCCACTACTGCCCCGCATCATAGTATGCTATTCACACTTTGCTAAGGGCCACAAAAATTTGCAACTTTGCTTAAACATAGACTTATGATTTGAAATTGTATCCATTTAAAACTGGGTAAATAATGATATAGTAGCACATCTTTAGGAAAACAGCCACTTTCAGCTAACCATATGCACTTGATACATGAGTAACCATAAAAATAGTTTTCATGGCATCAATTAACCATTTTGCAAATCATGGCACGGTTCATTGATAAGTACACAACACCTGTCAATAGCAGGTACAAGATCCCCAGATGAAATGACATACTGAAAACTTGGATCCATGCTTACAATAAGCTTAGATATTTATACCAAATTTGACCCCACATCATAGTTTTCTGTTGAATCAATGATTAGATCCTCAGCAATGTGTAAATAGTATATTTTGGTGTGTAAAGTTGTCATCTGCACTCTGGTCTGGAAGTTTCAAGTTTTCCTCCTCCTGGCTTCCTGGAACTTTTGCCAGGAGAATGGAAGCCTGTTGGTTTAATCCCCTGGCACATCAGATCAAACTGTTCAGTTTCAGTTCGGTTTCACTGAGGTGCTTCTATGGCATGAATAACCATCGTTTGTTTCTCAAATCTAGATGCTCGTTACACTGGGAGACATCGGAGATCCCACAGCACCGAGCCGAGGGGGAAACCTCCCCTCCCCACCCTCCCTCGCACCTGTCTCACACCACCCTCCAGTCCCAGGCGAGGTTTGAAAGGAGATTTATCATTTTCTCATAGTCACAGTTTCTGTCTTTCCACAGCCCTTTAGTCCAGAAACCTTGGTCGCTTACACCAGATGTAGATTTTATGACTCTTCTAGCATCTAGACTCATCTCAGATAAGAGGAGTTGGCTCTACTCTGTTTCACAGTTATTTCACTCACTGTTCTGTATACTTTGATGTGAGTGGGTAAAGTAATTAGTTTTGTCCACAGCTTGTAGACTGGAGAGCTTCGTTGTTCTTCTTAGTTCCAGCTTTACCTTAGCTTTTGCCACCAAAGAAGAAATTAGATCATAGTGTTTTGAGACTGTAGATTCTATCATAGCTGATCCATCAAACTAGAGGAATAGATTTTAGCTTTGCGATTGTAGACACTGTCATAGGTGACAGTGGAATAGTCATGCTTTGAGACTGTAGACTCTATGTTTGCTGATCCGTCACATTAGAGGAATACATTCTGGCTTTGAGACTGTAGACTCTGATTGCTGATCCGTCACATTAGAGGAATACATTCTGGCTTTGAGACTGTAGACTCTATGATTGCTGATCCGTCACATTGGAGGAATACATTCTGGCTTTGAGACTGTAGACTCTATGTTTGCTGATCCGTCACATTAGAAGAATACATTCTGGCTTTGAGACTGTAGACTCTGATTGCTGATCCGTCACATTAGAGGAATACATTCTAGCTTTGAGACTGTAGACTCTGATTGCTGATCCGTCACATTAGAGGAATACATTCTGGCTTTGAGACTGTAGACTCTGATTGCTGATCCGTCACATTAGAGGAATACATTCTGGCTTTGAGACTGTAGACTCTGATTGCTGATCTGTCACATTAGAGGAATACATTCTAGCTTTGAGACTGTAGACTCTGATTGCTGATCCGTCACATTAGAGGAATACATTCTAGCTTTGAGACTGTAGACTCTGATTGCTGATCCGTCACATTAGAGGAATACATTCTAGCTTTGAGACTGTAGACTCTGATTGCTGATCCGTCACATTAGAGGAATACATTCTGGCTTTGAGACTGTAGACTCTATGATTGCTGATCCATGATACTAGATGAATACATTCTAGCTTTGAGACTGTAGACTCTGATTGCTGATCTGTCACATTGGAAGAATACATTCTAGCTATGACACTGTAGACTCTGATTGCTGATCCGTCACATTGGAGGAATACATTCTAGCTTTGACACTGTAGACTCTGATTGTTGATCCGTCACATTGGAGGAATACATTCTGGCTTTGAGACTGTAGACTCTGATTGCTGATCCGTCACATTAGAGGAATACATTCTGGCTTTGAGACTGTAGACTCTGATTGCTGATCCGTCACATTAGAGGAATACATTCTGGCTTTGAGACTGTAGAAGCTATGATTGCTGATCCATAATACTAGATGAATACATTCTAGCTTTGAGACTGTAGACTCTGATTGCTGATCCGTCACATTGGAGGAATACATTCTGGCTTTGAGACTGTAGACTCTGATTGCTGATCCGTCACATTGGAGGAATACATTCTAGCTTTGAGACTGTAGACTCTGATTGTTGATCCGTCACATTGGAGGAATACATTCTGGCTTTGAGACTGTAAACACTATGTTTGCTGATCCGTCACATTAGAGGAATACATTCTGGCTTTGAGACTGTAGACTCTATGATTGCTGATCTGTCACATTAGAGGAATACATTTTAGCTTTGAGACTGTAGACTCTGATTGCTGATCCGTCACATTGGAAGAATACATTCTAGCTATGACACTGTAGACTCTGATTGCTGATCCGTCACATTAGAGGAATACATTCTGGCTTTGAGACTGTAGACTCTATGTTTGCTGATCCGTCACATTAGAGGAATACATTCTGGCTTTGAGACTGTAGACTCTATGATTGCTGATCCGTCACATTAGAGGAATACATTCTGGCTTTGAGACTGTAGACTCTGATTGCTGATCCGTCACATTGAGAGGAATACATTCTGGCTTTGAGACTGTAGACTCTATGATTGCTGATCCGTCACATTAGAGGAATACATTCTGGCTTTGAGACTGTAGACTCTGATTGCTGATCCGTCCATTGGAGGAATACATTCTGGCTTTGAGACTGTAGACTCTATGATTGCTGATCCATGATACTAGATGAATACACTCCAGCTTAGAGATTATAGACTCTATCTTTGCTGATCCATCCTGCTAGATGCTGATCCATGTACACTAGGTATTAATTCATATGACCATACTTGGGCATAAAGGGTTATATCTATCTTTAGATTAGATCATAGGAAAAGACTGGACAATCTGTACAGAATTTGAAACTTTGAAGACCTGATCATTCATTTGATAATCAGGGTAGTTGTGACCCTGAAACTATTTGTGTTCTGTGCCAGAAAATGTACAAAACACCAAATTATATCTTTCACTGGACATGATGCTGGATCTGAAAAATTGTTGGTGAAAATACATTGTTTTGTTCCTCCTAAAACAGTCTGAAAAATATCAATCCTGAAATCCAGACGCTGTTCTCTTCTTCCTGATAATATTAGATTGATCCCCAAAACAAGGTATGACATTGTTGTATTGGATGGAAAAAGGTTTTTGTGATGAATCAGCAATCAAATGTTGTCAGTATACTTAATGTCATGAAGAATCTGTTTCATCAATGTTATTGTTCTTGTAAAATTACTGTGATGAAATGCTAGTTTACAGGCCTACAAATATAAACAGATGAAAGCTACAAAACTCTCACATTTGAAATAGAAATAGCCACACAAGGTACTAACAAAAACACTGTCCCCTGAGTTTTGTTTTGTAATGATGAGAACCCAGCCCAATCTTGGTAGAACCAAACATATTAAAAACATAAATCTGCAACTTTTTGTAGATTACAGTGATTTGATATGTTTGCTTCTGTTGAATGCAAACTGAAGGAGGATGTTTGCACTCTTTGTAGCTATTTATGTCTAAGGTGTTCACATAATCTGAGATTTGGTAGCTTTCACTTGGTTTTCTTTAGTAATTTGAATTTAGATGACATATGACTTTGTTTTCAGGAAATGATCATTACTAGTTTTGATTAACAATTTTTCAGATTGCTCTATAAATATAATAGGACCGAGAAGACATCCTGGTCTTACACCAACAGTTGACATTTACCAGTGCATTATTGTTGACTTTTCACTTTGGAATAGGTCCTGCTGATCTGCCGCCACACTCAAATCACGTGACAGTCATGAGCCGGCCACTCAAACTCAAACAACACTTGCCTCATCCGTACACAGGTTATGCCAGTGACTTAGAATCTGTAAAAACTGAGGATTTTGAAAGTCGTTTTCAGGATCTAATGATTGGCCAAACATCCAAGGATACATCCAGCAAGTTAAAAACCCTTTCCAAAAAACTTGCGAATCGAGAATCTAAGACCCAGGTGCAATCAAATACGAACCACAGTGGTGGTATCTCATGTAAGACTTGCATATGTGCATCCATGTACTGTTTGTGTATAAACTTGTTCACTATTTATGCATGGTAGTGGGACTTATGTAATGCTTCCACAACTATATACACTGCATGCAGCATGTGTTATATATAACATGGAAATAAGCATGATTTGTTTTGAGGCATTAATATTTGTCTGTTTTGAGAACATCTGTTGACACATTGCACTGTTTCCAGTAACCTGATGGAATAAGTTTACTCACCCCTACATTTCAAACTCCTCAGAATGGCAAATAAGTCTCTCTTAACTAATTAAAATTAATAATTTTTGAATACAGTTAATTCTCTATGTTATGTCACAGTATAGCTGAAAATTGCTGACACAACAATATTATATATAATCATAATATATTGCTGATATGACGATATTGTAATTTACTCTGTTGTTTTGTCATTATTGTTACATTGCTCATGTATCAGATAAGTTTTAACGTAATGGGTAAAAATATGCACAATATTTTATGAATATGGTTTAACTAATATTATACAATATTAACATGGAGAATATATCTGTTGGCTATATGGGGGTGTAATTATATAATTTTTGTGTATATTTTATTTTCTGTGAAATAGTTTAAAATGCTATTGTATGAATTTGGTGAGACATTATGCTTCCATTAAAGAGTCATTGTTATTGGTCTTATAAAGCTGTTGTACGATTAAAACTTTTAAGTTATCAACTAATATACATTTTTCAGATAAGTCAATGTAAATGAGTTCCTAATTCAGGCCTAACTGTAAGGTTTATGTCTTTTGTAATGTGAAAATATGTTGTAAATGTAGTACCTATAAAATATAAGGTAAGATAATGCTTCTTAGTTGGAAAGTTTACAGAGAATGTTCAGAAAGTGTAACGTGTTTCATAAGATTGATGTCTCCTGCTGCTGTAGTTTTACACTAGTTCATTTCTTCATATTCCAGATCCTAAACCAACAGAGGATTCAAAAAGCTTTCCTTCTGCAAGACTATTCTCAAGTTTTCAGAATAAACCTGCAAGTGAGTGATGTTTTAGTTCTGTTTGATGCTGAACTACAAATGTTTTTGCAACGATTTGTCATGGTGGATGAAAACTAGGTTCACCAGTTTAATTCTGTATATTTACTTGAAACAGTCTTCTAAAATAACATGAAACTGTTCAACTATCAGAGTGTAGTCATTACCTTCAGACCTGTAATAGGAAACGATGGTGAAGAGTTTGTATCAGTTTTGCAAATTTTCTAATTTTGGTGGTTTAAGTGACCATAGCAGGTTCAATTAGGGGAATATGACGTCACTAGCAAATCATGATTGTGAAAAGGTTAATTCACAGATTTCTAGCAGATAATGAAGTACATGGCATGAAGATTGATAATGCAAGGGACTGCAGCATTTCAGTGGTGAAGAATATGAAAGATATTGCCTCTGACCATTTGTTTGTTTGTTTGTTGTTGTTTTTTAATGTCGCTCTCAGCAATTTTTCATCTATATGACGGTGGTCTGTAAATGATTTGAGTCTTGACGAGATAATTTAGTGATTGACAGTACGAGCATCAATCTATGCAATGGGGATACAATGACATGTGTCCACCAAGGCAGCGATCCTGTTATTCGCCTCTCACGATGAGCATGGGTTGCTGAAGGCTAATTCTAGCCTGGATCTTCATGAGGGTAGACACGTATGGGTTGCTGAAGGCTAATTCTAGCCTGGATCTTCATGAGGGTAGACACACATGGGTTGCTGAAGTCCAATTCTAGCCTGGATCTTCATGAGGGTAGACACTATTGGTTTGTTGAAGATCAATTCTAACCTGGGTCTTCATGGGGGTAGACACGCATGGGTTGCTAAGACCAATTCCAAACTGGATCTTCATGAGGGTAGACACGTATGACCAACTCTAACCTAGGTCTTCATGAGAGTAGACACACATGGGTTGCTGAAGATCATTTCTAACCTGGATCTTCATGAGGGTAGACACCCATGGGTTGTTGAAGACCAGTCCTAACCCGGAGCGTCTCGGGTCCACAGTTATATATATGATGACTGTTTATTCTAGATGATCTGACGCTTAGGAAGTCACCCTTCAGCTCCTTACCAACCTCAGACTCTCGGAGCACCACAGATATTATCAAACTGCCACGTCCCAGAAGTGTTAGTCCTGCCAGGCTCAGGTAAGACCTAGTCACGTTTCTAACCTCATGAAAGACAATGGTGTGAAATGCGTGTCTGAATGATGTATAGTTAGGCCAGACCAGTGATGATTTCTGTTCATGTCATTGATGTGTGTTGCTCTGTATGATAAGAATTTCAGGCATTGAAACTTGCAAATACTAAAGAAATAAAAATTGTTAGAATGGTTTACAGAAGAGGACTCTTGGAATTTTCCATGAAACAGGATTAATATACGCTACTCAGCCTGCGAGAGGCATAATCTGATGTGTCAGATACATTTAAGTGAATGTTCACATGAGTGTGTTTTGAATGTGTGCCTGTGTCTGCATTCCTGTGTGTGTGTCTGCATTTCTGTGTGTGTGTGTGTGTGCATGCATTCATGCATGTTTTCATATATGTGCATGTCTGCATTCCTGTGTCTGTGTAAGCGTGCGTGTGCATGCATGTGTGTGTGCGTGCATGCATTCATGCATGTTTTCATATATGTGCATGTCTGCATTCCCGTGTCTGTGTAAGCATGCATGTGCATGCATCTGTGCATATGTGTGCATGCATTCATGCATGTTTTCATGCGTGTGTGTATTCTGTACAAAACTTAGAAATGTAATGTATTTAATCTAAACCTTGGAAACGTCATTGAATGCCATGGAATACCAGGAGACAACATGGTTGTATTTTGGCATTCTGGAATCCTGTACATGTCTTGGAGATGTAATACATTATATCTTAACTTGACAATGTCATTGAATGCAATGGAATACCAAGAGACAATATGTTAGTATTTTGACATTCTGGACTCCTGTACATATCTTGGAGATGTAATGCACAAAGTAACTTAGTAGAGTTTAAAGGCAAAGTGCTAATAATCTATTACAACCTCAGACATTATGAGGCGTTTCCATCCTGAAGACAATGGTAACATAGACAAACACTGAAAGCAATCCTATGTTTTCCACACCCTATATATGCGTACATTGATACAGACAAAACATTGTCAACTGCATGGCCTTCAAAATGATGTGTTGCTTGGAAACGCGTGAAACTGATAAACAGATAAATTAGACGAGAGTCCAAAGAACTTCAATGAAGTAGGAAAGATGTAGAAAATCTAGCCTGTCCACAGGACTGGCAGGTCAAATTATTTACCAGTCCTGCCAAAATGTAGCCTGTCCTCCAAATATAAATAAAACACCATCGGCAGTAAATATTCAAAAAGGTTATAATCATTATATATATGTCATTGGTTTGCTAAAATTGACCAGACATGAGGACGGACTAGATCTTTTTTTAACCCGTCCTCCACAAAAATCACCCGTCTCGGACGTTGGGACGGGCTATCTTTCCTACACTGCCTATAGTTTGTTTCTCAGTCCCTGAATCATGTTATTTCCCATCCACCCAGGCCTATAGTTGGTTTCTCAGTCCCTGAATCATGTTATTTCCCCCCCCAGGCTTATAGTTTCTTTCTCAGTCCCTGAATCATGTTATTTCCCGTCCACCCAGGCCTATAGTTTGTTTCTCAGTCCCTGAATCATGTTATTTCCTGCCCACCCAGCCCTATAGTTTGTTTCTCAGTCCCTGAATCATGTTAATTCCTGCCCACCCAGCCCTATAGTTTGTTTCTCAGTCCCTGAATCATGTTGTTTCCCATCCACCCAGCCCTATAGTTTGTTTCTCAGTCCCTGAATCATGTTAATTCCTGCCCACCCAGCCCTATAGTTTGTTTCTCAGTCCCTGAATCATGTTAATTCCTGCCCACCCAGCCCTATAGTTTGTTTCTCAGTCCCTGAATCATGTTAATTCCTGCCCACCCAGCCCTATAGTTTGTTTCTCAGTCCCTGAATCATGTTATTTCCCATCCACCCAGCCCTATAGTTTGTTTCTCAGTCCCTGAATCATGTTATTTCCCATCCACCCAGCCCTATAGTTTGTTTCTCAGTCCCTGAATCATGACCCAGGCATGTTTTGTTTCTCTGTCCCTGAGTCATGTTATTTCCTGCCCACCCAGCCCTATAGTTTGTTTCTCAGTCCCTGAATCATGTTAATTCCTGCCCACCCAGGCCTATAGTTTGTTTCTCAGTCCCTGAATCATGTTAATTCCTGCCCACCCAGCCCTATAGTTTGTTTCTCAGTCCCTGAATCATGTTATTTCCCATTCACCCAGGCCTATAGTTTGTTTCTCAGTCCCTGAATCATGTTATTTTCTGTCCAACCAGCCCTATAGTTTGTTTCTCAGCCCCCTGAATCATGTTATTTCCCATCCACTCAGGCCTATAGTTTGTTTCTCAGTCCCTGAATGATGTTGTTTCCCATTCACCCAGGCCTATAGTTTGTTTCTCAGTACCTGAATCATGTTATTTTCTGTCCAACCAGCCCTATAGTTTGTTTCTCAGCCCCTGAATCATGTTATTTCCCATCCACTCAGGCCTATAGTTTGTTTCTCAGCCCCCTGAATCATGTTGCTTCCCGTCCACCCAGGCCTATAGTTTGTTTCTCAGTCCCTGAATCATGTTATGTCTCATCCACCCAGGCCTATAGTTTGTTTCTCAGTCCCTGAATCATGTTAATTCCTGCCCACCCAGCCCTATAGTTTGTTTCTCAGTCCCTGAATCATGTTAATTCCTGCCCACCCAGCCCTATAGTTTGTTTCTCAGTCCCTGAATCATGTTAATTCCTGCCCACCCAGCCCTATAGTTTGTTTCTCAGTCCCTGAATCATGTTAATTCCTGCCCACCCAGCCCTATAGTTTGTTTCTCAGTCCCTGAATCATGTTATTTCCCATGCCTATAGTTTGTTTCTCAGTCCCTGAATCATGTTAAATCCTACCCACCCAGCCCTATAGTTTGTTTCCAGTCCCTGAATCATGTTAATTCCTGCCCAGCCCTATAGTTTGTTTCTCAGTCCCTGAATCATGTTTCTCAGTCCCTGAATCATGCCCTATAGTCCCTGAATCATCCTTCACCCAGGCCCACCCTGAGCCCTATAGTTTGTTTCTCAGTCCCTGAATCATGTTATTTCCTGCCCAGGCCTATAGTTTGTTTCTCAGTCCCTGAATCATGTTTGCCCTTTCTCAGTCCCTGAATCATGTTAATTCCTGCCCACCCAGCCCTATAGTTTGTTTCTCAGTCCCTGAATCATGTTATTTCCCATCCACCCAGGCCTATAGTTTGTTTCTCAGTCCCTGAATCATGTAATGTCCCATCCACCCAGCCCTATAGTTGTTTCTCAGTCCCTGAATCATGTTGTTTCCCATTCACCCAGGCCTATAGTTTGTTTCTCAGTCCCTGAATCATGTTATTTTCTGTCCAACCAGCCCTATAGTTTGTTTCTCAGCCCCCTGAATCATGTTATTTCCCATCCACCCAGGCCTATAGTTTGTTTCTCAGTCCCTGAATCATGTTATGTCTCATCCACCCAGGCCTATAGTTTGTTTCTCAGTCCCTGAATCATGTTATTCCCATCCACCCAGGCCTATATGTAATGCCAAATCCCAAATGGAGCGAGTCTACATTTTCCTGAAAAATCTGAATGTCTCATCTCATTGGCTCCTTTTCAATGTAACTATTGACATATTTTCAATGACTAAGTGCTAGTCTACAAAACATTCTCTCAAGCTCACTGACCTCCACCCACACCCCTCTTTTTTTAATTATGGGTTTCCATGGCAACATAGAGTGCTAATAAATGGTAGTGACAGTATATATGAAGGTTTTGAGTTAACACCACTGTTGGAAATTTCCAATAAGGTACATTATGAAACTAATTAATATGAGGGATCATCAAATTTATGGTAATTTTGAGATAATTTGTATGGTCAAGGTATCGGTAACGGCTCCAGCAGATGAAATATCACACTAGATACTGCGAAATGATATTTATTAGTCACCTTGTTTTCCATCATTAGTGAGGCATCTAACCGTGTTGGCGCCGGACCATAAAAGGTGTGGAAGCCTGATGACTGTAATACCAGAAACTGTTAATCTGCTACTCTGTTGTCATGGTGGTCACTTTGGAATATACAACAGCATATTGCTGTGAGAGTATCGGCTGTTGGGTACCAGCTGTAGGATCTGTTGTTCATCATAATGATGATCAGATGATGTGTGTATGGTTGTATGTTGGACTGTACTGACAAGTCGAACCAAACAAATTCAAATTTGTTGATTTGGATGAATTTGGTGATGCCATGTGAATTGGTGATGTTGAAGGCAAAAAGTTCCTTTAGAAGTACCTGTTGTGACACACATATAAATCACAGCCAGCAATTAGTCAAGAGAACTGGTGGGAAGATATTTCACTTGTCCACAGAGTTTATCGCTACTCCTGCTTGAACAGTTCAAAAATGTTATATATTGTAGTAAAGTTAAAGCTGAGACCAGTGCAGAAATTCTGCAGCAAATGCTACCAGACAGTGAGGACAACTGTCTGTGGACTTGGACTTGTTGATAGCACAATTTTAGTAGTCACAGCTGGGAGAGTAGCGTGAATTTTGAGGCTGCTTTATGAAGACATAGCTGGAACTGTTGAAGCATCGATGACGAAGCTGTAATCTTCAGAAGAACAAGATAATGGAACATTTCTGAATTCGTCCTGATCTACCCTATTGGAATGTATGAACACAGGTGAGTGAGAACATTTTTTAGTAGCTCAGTAGCTGATGTTTATATTGTACACCTAGCCAACATTTGTTGTATATCCAGCCAACACCTATTGTGTACTTAGCCAACATTTATTTACATGAAACCAACACCTATTGTACACGTAGCCAACATTTTTGTACAGTGGACTCCATCTAAACCGAAATCCCTTGGGACCGGTGAAAAATGTCGGTTTAGAGTGATATCGGTTTATAGGCAATTTTTAGAAAGTCATAACAAGCACTTAATATATGATTTCACCAATCTATGAATCCATTGAACAAGTTATTATCTCTTTGATTGGCATTTAAGAAGTTGGTGTGTCATTAACACAGGGCTCCAGATAAGGGTCGTATCGGCGT